AAATTAATTTACTGAATAGTAAAATGACCCAGCGAACACTTCACGGAACAAAATTGAAAAAAATTAGAACTTCAGGGTTTCGAGCACGTATGTTGTCTAAAACGGGGCGGCGTGTAATTAATGCTCGTCGACGTAAGGGACGTGCCCGTTTAACAGTATAAAAAAAAACGGGTGCTTCAAAAGTGGGCTTGATTTGGTTAAATCAATAAATATAAATAAAATTTATTTCAAAAAATTAGACTCAATGTTAAAAATCAGATTAAAACGTTACGGAAGAAAAGGGCAACCTTCATATCGAATTGTTGCGGCTGATAGTAGGGTTAAACGTGATGGAAAAGCTATTGAAGAATTAGGGTTTTATAATCCACTTAATGATGAGACACATCTTAAATATAACCAGATTATCAAACATCTGAAAAACGGAGCTCAGCCTACGGATACGGTACAAAACATTTTATTAAAAGCAAAGGTTTTTGACTTTTTCTAAAAATTTGAATACGAGTAGTACGGACACTTATTTAATGCCAATAGATATATCGAAACAATTAATTAACTAAGAGGGGCTTGAATGCTAGAAAAATTTTCTAGTTTCCAAATTCGAATTTTGTGGCTTGAAAATTCCTTAGGGGTTGCAATTGAACAAAAGACAAAACAGCGGTCGATTCCAATAACATCTTATTATTTTTGGCCAAGGAATGATGCTTGGGAATTATTAAGATTAGATATTGATTCCAAAATATGGATTTCAGAAGCAGAAAAGACTAACATCATGAATAAAGTCACACAGATTCTTAACAGCTGGCAAAAAGGTGCGACTGAAGAAGCACGACATTATTTTCAGAACCAAACAAAAGATTTTAAGTTTATTGCTACCAAATAAGCAATAAATATAGGCCTATAGCTCAGTGGATAGAGTAATAGATTCCGATTCTAGATGTCGAGGGTTCAAATCCCTCTAGGCCTATATAAAAAAAACTTCAATAGGTCGAGTTTTACTTGCGTATCGCGGTAAAAATTAAAGCGATGAATTGC